ACACAGGTCCTTGAAGGTAGGTTTTTCTGGATTCCCATATCCCAAACTACCTGAGGCGCCTCCCTGTTTCAATCAACGAGCGCATTTCCCCGATATATGTCTACGTCCTTTCTTTTATGGCAGCATCGGGGTGCGAATTGCTCGTTCCATGAAGTACCGGAGCGCTCCCGAGCACTCCGGCAGCACCCCACGCGTCCGCCGGGTGTTTGCTGGCTCTTCGGTGGCCCATGTTCTGCTCGTTCGCGGTGCCCGATGTGTTCTTTTCCCACCCCCGCAAGGCTCGTTTCGATTCCTCCGATTCGATTCGATTCGATCTCGATGGCTTCCGATCCCGATTCGATTCGACATCGGATTCCGATCTGGGCTCCGATTTCTCAGTAATTGGAGGCCTACGAGCCTGCCGATTTCCGCCGATTCGACTTTTCCCGACTTGGTTGCCGATCTCCGCCGATCCGATTCATTCCGATGGCCGATCCGACTTCGATTTTGGGCTCTCCTGCCCCCGTCCTCAAGGGGTAACCGCATGCCGATGATAATAAAGGGACCCCCCCCCCCTTCAGTGTTTAGAGTTGATTATCGTCGCCCTATACAAAATTCAAATTGGGCGGCGAGCGCTGAGGCCGAACTTCATTATCACCTCGAAACGCTGTGTTGAGATAGCAACATCAAGCGATGTTGATATAGCAACATCAAGCGAAGCGATCACACTTTTTCAGGATGTGTCAAGCGAAACCAATAATTTTGGGAGGCAGACTCAAACGAAACGAGCAATGTTCTTATTATTCTTCTACTTTCCTCTTCTTCTTTTATATTTCTATCTGTCCTCACGCTCGCCTGAACTTTTTTATCCCTGGGGTTGATTATCCATGGAAAATGAAGCACATGAGCTACCCTACACGAGCACTTTAAAAAAATAATTTTCATAAAGCGTTTGTAGATTAAAATTGATAGATTTGGAACTTTGGATTTTTCTTTTCTTCGTCCTCTTCTTATTCTCCTCTTCTTCTTCTTTCTTATTATTCTTCTATTGTACTCTTCTTCTTTTATATTTCTCTCTGTCCCCACGCTCGCCTGAACTTTTTTATCTCTGGGGTTGATTATCAATGGAAATTGAGGCACATGAGCTACCCTACACGAGCACTTACAAAAAACAATTTTCATGAGAGATAAGCCATTGTTGAGGATATTTCTATGGAAACTAAGCGCCAAGGATGTCTCAAAACGTGCTCGGCTTGGTCTCCTCTTGATCATCTCTTACTTCGAGATAATGCTGAGGTCTGCTGGGCTACTTTTATTATCTCTCCCTGAACCCCGAACTTTATTATCCCCTAGTGTTTATTCTCACGGGCATGAGGTTAGCTGGAAAAGTCTTGGCACCCTCATGCCGTCTTCGTCGGGTCATCCCCGCCTCGAGGGGTTGGGCTAGCGGCGATGCGAAACCCCTGGCTCACTGGGTATGGGGATAGACGACGCTGACCAGCAGTGGAGCCTACCCGGAGGCTAAACGACAAGATTTCCGAGCACACCCGGGGGAACATCCTCACGGAGGTATGGTGGGCGCAGCCGGACCCTTCCGCCGCCCGTGGCGCGCGCGGGCGCCCGCTCTTGCCTCCTCTTCTCACCCTGGTGTCGATGCAGACTGCTGCCGCAGCCGCAGCCGTGCGCGGTTCGGGAGGATGATCTTCCGAAGGGGGCCGGAGCAGATGGGGCTGGAGGATCGCGCCGCATCGCCGATTCGTCGACGATGCGGTTCGATGTGGATCCCGACGCTCTCTACGCCGACGTCGCCGGTGCATTGCCGATGCGTCGCCGATGCGTCGGTGACGCGCCGGCAGTACGGCGCGGTGCCCCGAGCCCAGCTGCTCAGGCGCCACCCGGGAGGCCTCGAGAGGCGGAGGCGACCGTAGGCGCGAGCAGCCCCAGGTGGATAGGCGTGTTTTCCACCACCACAATAAGTTGGAGGGGGTAAGGAGGTGGAGGATGAGGAGGAGGAGTACCCCCCTCCCCCTCCAACTTCTGGTGGTGGTGGTGGAAGACAGGCCCATGAAGGGTGGGAGCAGCACCGCGTGTCCAGGGGCGCCGATTCAGTCCGTGTCTTCGGCGCGGCTCCCCAGTCAGTCAGTCAGTCAGTCAGTCAGTGAGCCAACCATCCAGAAGGACGCGTGGGCAGAAGAGTGCACGGTTGGCCACCCTTCGGAAAAATTAGCAAAACGTGGTCGAGAGGCTACCTGCGCATAGAGACTCGATTGTATTGTGAAGCCGAGAGCGGGGCGCAACACGACTGTGCGGCACAAGCCGGTGCGCTTGGAAGGCGCCAAAAACAAATCATAAGGGGGCCGTTCGCCCCTGGCATCGCCGCAGGGTTCGGAGATCATCGGGGAAGACAGGTTTGCAAAAGCCTCTCAGCTTTCGGATGCAGGCACGGACTTCCCTGGAGCACAGGAAGCGAGGAAGTGGGGGACCTCGTGGCAACAATCGTAGGCGCCGGCCTCAGGGAGTTTTCCGCTCTCCCCGCAGGATGGGGGGGCAGGGGAACCGGGAGGGAGAGACGCGAGCTGAAGTTATGGGCCGAGAGATCAGGCGCTTCTCGCTCCCAGTCCCCGTGTTCCCCCAGGAAGTCGGGCCGCTCAGACAAGAAGGCCCGTCGACACCTTCATCACAATTGTCATCAACGATACATGATCATGCCTATGTTTCCATGTACAGTCTCGGATCGCGAGGTTTCACCGTCTCTGGGCTCATTCCACACTCATCATATATCTTATCAGCGATGGCGTACGGTGCGTTGCTCGTCGGCCTGCTCGCGGTCCCAGCGTCTGGTTTGGTGGCGGAGCGAGTGCCAGAGTCTTGCCTGAAGCGTGCTTCGTGCAAGGGCACCTTCCACTACGCCCCCCCGTCAAAGCCACAGGCGCCTGGCAGTGGAGAGGTCAGGCTGACGGACCTCGTTCCCCAGACGGCGGAGCTGTCGAGCCAGGCGTCGATCGAGCAGTGCATTTCCGAGTGGAAGACGTTCGACATGAAGATCGGCAACAATCAGAACGTCAAGTCCACGAACGAAGAGGATCTGAAGATCTTCGATCGTTTCTTCAGCGGGGCGTCCGGTGGGACCGCGCGAACGCAGGGATTCTTCCTGGAGATGGGCGCGTTCAACGGGCTCGCGGAATCCAATTCACTTTTCTTCGAGCGTTGCCTGGGATGGACGGGCTTGCTCGTGGAGGGCAACCCCAATCAGTACAGAGTCATGGTCGAGAACAATACGAGGCCGTCGGCGCACAAGCTCAACGTCGCCCCATCTTGTGCGTCCGACGACGAGGAGGTGCAATTCGTCTTGGGGCAGACGGAGTCGGGGCTGGTTGACATGGTCGGTTCGAACCCTGCTAAAGAGATCGCCAACGTGCACTGCGGGCCGCTTTCCCTGTACCTGCGCGATCTCGGCATCGCCCAAGTCGACTTCTTCTCCCTGGACGTGGAGGGTGCAGAGCTCCTGGTGCTTAAGACGGTCGATTTCAGTAAGGTCAGAATCCCCGTGGTCATGGTGGAGTCGTGGAACAGGGACTGCAAGGAGGACTGTCCCAAGCGCGAAGCCGTTCGCGAGCTTATGCTCTCCAACGGGTACACGCTGGATACCGGATTGGTGCCCAAGAGCGACGTGTTCTATTTGGTGGACGAAGTCTGAGTCGTTGCCGGGACGTACTCCGTGCTGCCAATGCATGCACCCAGCCAGCCTGGCCCAGTACAAGACTCAAGGCATCGTGAGGATTGCTGAGTTGCACGGTTTGTTTTCCCAGTTCCCATTCCAGGGGATTCCATGGAACTCCAGGGAACGTTTCCGGTTAGGGCGCCCCCAACCGAAACCATCAAGCTTGAATCCACAAGAATCATAGCATGAGGTTCCGCATTGGCCCAGAGGATCTCAGGAGAGGAGGAGTAGCGGCAGGAGGAGGAGGGGGAGGGAGGAGGCAGTGTAGGAGGAAGGGGGGGGAGGGAGGAGGCGCGGCAGCCACGCACTCTGTGGTTCTTCGCACTCTGTGGCTCTTCGCACTCTTGTGAATCTGAACGAACTACCGTTTAAAAGCGGAAACTATGGACTTCTTCTTAATATTTGGACGCCAGGTGCGAACCGGGTGCGTCTTACATCTATGGCACAGTTTCTAGGAGGGCCGACGCGCGCGCGCAAAGGGCTGACCCTCTCAGCCCAGGGATTCCAGGGGCCCATCGGCCAGAGCGGTTCCGACATCCTCAGGCCAAGGGGGTCGGCCCGCTGCGCGCGAGCGTCGGCCCCAATGCCTCACGGGCTTCGGCGGCGTCGGGGCTTTGACATCGTCACAACAAATGTTGGCCTTCCCGCCCTTGGTACCGATCTTCGGGACGGCGTCGCCCCCCCCCGTCGTCGCTGTCAATGACGATGATCGTTTGTTTCGTTTGTTGGTGCCGTTCTCTCATCCTCCTGATCTCCTCTAGCTCCTCATTCGTGTAATCCCACACGCACGAACTACTGAACAGGATGTCGCCGGGGGTGGTCATGGCCACACGAGCACGCTCGAGAGCGGATGGGCCCCGCCGGCAGACCTCGACCCCAAAAGGCTAGGGCAGGCGGCAGGGGACCCCGATTACAAATGCCGGTATCCACCCGCGCTTCACACGACCCCCAGCCCCAACGTCACCCTTCCTCATTCCACCCCGTCCTCCCCTGAGCTCGAAGCCCACCTCGCCGGGCCGCGCGAAAGACGCGCAGGGAATCCCCAATGGACGCCGAGCCCGGGGGCAGGGCCCGAGAAGCAGGAGAAGACGGAGGAGGCGCAGAAGACAACCCTCTTCCTCAGCCACGTGAGCACGACAGCCCTGACATCTTGGGATTTTGAGACTCGCCCCAAACTTGCTCAATCCAGGAGGCGGGGAAGGAGGATGACGACGATGAAGACGACGACAACGGCGATGATGGCGAATCCCTTCAGAACGCCAACCCGGGTCCAGGGGTACACGCATCTTGAAGCCACTCT